TCTCCACAAACCTTTGCATGAGCCAATTTGAGTTTGTCAGTGTTAGAAAGTGTCATGATATCCTGGGAATACACAGCCACAATCCATACCAACAGTGTTAGTGCAACCAACTTGACAGCTATTTGTGGGACTGGCAACAGAAAGAATAACATGCAACTCTGGTGACCACTCATATTTTTATTACTTTTTATGTGTTTTACACTAGCCCCACAAGGCCTCAGTTAGTGATCAGGGCCCAATGTGCTCTGCATTGTACAAACATGTAATAAAAATACAGTCCCTGCACTAAAGTGCATACAATCTGTGCTAAATTTACCCGTGTGCAGTGGGCCAGTGCAAGACCTATGCTCTGCTTTAGCCACACTGGAAGACTTAAGTAATGCAAAAGCATTGTCTTCACCTTTCATTGGGGAGTGAATATCACCCCCAGTGCGAATAGCAAATTGCAAAACCCAAATGCTTGAAGCAATAGTCCTAGCAAATAGTCTGTGAGAAACATCTGGGCTGAAATATGTCCCTGTAAAATATTAAGGGTGGTGTTAGGTCCAGAAAAGTGATCCTACTTTGGCTTTTGTCATTTTTGTGTTTCTATTACTAGTTAATGGCAAGGATGCCTAGAGCCCTGCATGAGAGTTCTTCTTATGTTGTGTCTTTAAGTACGGAATACCAATAAGTAAAATTATCAAATAATTTTGAATAACTAACAAATTGGTAAAAGTCTAACTCTCTGTGGATAATTTGCAAACAGAAAAGGGTGCTAAATTTGTCAAATAGTGTGTTGAGAATGGTATTCACATAGCTCACCTTGCATTTAATAGGACTCGCATGTGAAGTACACACATATATCAAGGGGACAATTTACAGAAACTATAAGAAAGGCAAAAATCCCAGTGTTGAAACATGCTGAGAGCTGAATTTTTGAAGGTGAATAGCCACGTCCTTTGCTTCAGAATTTGCTCCCTCTTGTGATTGGCCAGAGCCTGACTCTGGGGCCATTAGGAAGGAGAATGGTCAGATAGTGGGAAGATCTAGATTTTATTCCTGGCACTGCCACATACTTGCTATGTGAGCTTATGTCAGTCACTTAACTGCTCTGTGCCTCAGTTTCTTGATCTGTTAAGCAGTGATAACAGTGCTTATCCTACATGCTTGTTGTGAAGCTTAGTTCATTCATGTTTGTAAAAGGCTTTGAGATCTTCTAATGTCAAGTACTACAAAGATACAAAGGATTATGGTTGTTAAATATGTAGATGCAGCAGAAGATACATTTATCTGAGATGGTATTTCACTGATTTTAACAGGTTTAGTGTTCAGAGCATAGGACTAGTAATTAGGAAGTACACAGTTCATTTTTTGTCTATTCCACTGACACGCTGAAGGTTTGGGCAAGTCACTTAACATCTCCTTATCAGTTTCCCTAGCTGTAAAATCGGGACAATAAAGCTTAGCTTTCAACCAGTGAAGTTTAATCAATCAATGATTTAGGCCTGGTTTACACTAACCCCCCAAGTCGAAGTAAGGTACGCAACTTCAGCTACGTGAATAACGTAGCTGAAGTCGACATACCTTACTTCGAACTTACCGCGGTTCAGACGCGGTCCACACACGGCAGGCAGGCTCCCCTGTCGACTCCGCGGTACTCCTCTCGTTGAGCTGGAGTACCGCAGTCGACGGCGAGCACTTCCTGGTTCGATTTATCGCGTCCAGACCAGACGCGATAAATCGAACCCGGAAGTTCGATTTCCAGCCGCCGAACTAGCGGCTAAGTATAGACCAGCCCTTAGTGTTTTGAAATTGTGAAGCAACTTGAAATTTGATATAAATGGTAAGTAGCAATCTCATTAAAAACTGCTAGGATGTTCATTGTGCTTGGTATTGGTCATGGCAGTGAATGGTCTCTTATGACCAACTGTTAGCAATATATTTCATGATGGTTGCAATGTAAGTGATTACATTAATAAACAGGAACACCCCGCACCTATATTTGAATACTTAAATCAGCACTTAGGCATGGAAAATGGGCAATTTCTTCAAAATCTAAATATCTTCTTAGAAAATGCCTGTTTTACACATTTAAATGTCTATCTGAGTATCCAGATGTGGGATCTGAATATTCTAGTAATGATTCTGATCATGTGAGTCATTTAGCATTTCATGTGCAGTGCTGAACCCTCTGAACTCTTAGTAAAGTAGGGCATGTTGAGGGTGCTTGGCAGTGCAGCTTATACAGTGCAGTTTTACTCTGAAAAGTGACTCCGTAAAAAAAAAGCATCACGTATCTCTGTTTATTGTGCTTCTTTGTTTTTAATGCCTCCATTTCATGTATATTCCATTTTCTATGTTTACAAGTAAAACTTGCAAGTCCCTCTTGGGTTCTAAAAGTCAAGCTGGGTTCTTTTTCCTGCATATGCATCACACCCATTAATAAAGTTCATCTTCAACCAATTGCTCAAGCGTAGCTGAGAGCAGAATTTGACCCTGCTATTAGAACCGGGTTTGCAATTCTGCTGATGATATGGAACTCAGAGGAGAATCCAGCTCCCACTCCCACAACTGTACTGTGCTAACAGGCGTAGACATTAATAAAGATTTATTTTTGTCATTAAAGTTCCATTTCCACAAAGTTTCACTGAAAATTTCACTTTCACGAAACCAAGTTTGAAAATTGAGCTCAAGGAGTGTCATAAGCTGAAAAAGTACAGTTCCAGCAGGAATCTGTATTTTTATTGGTAGCCAATCATTGTACAAAATTAATCCAAAATGAATAAAATGTATGGTTGTGTGTTTATTTTTTATTTAGTTGTTCCCAGAAACCCTTGCTAAAATTACAGCCTAATATCTTGTATCAAAGGATGTACAGTTTGTTTTGTTGCTTTCTCCAAGGAAGTGTTATGATCCAAACTTTATTGCTAATTTAATTTCCCAGTTGCATGGTGAATTCAAAGTTCAATTCAAGAAATACATGTAGTTCAAAACTTCATATTAATGGTTTTATCTAGTCTGTCAGTTACATGTCTTGTATTCTTTTCTTTCATGCAGAATCATCTTCGTCGGCCAGAATGCTGTCTGGATTTTCAAATTTGTTACATCTGTGGCCATGAATTTGTCTTTCAGTCAACACTAAATCAGAAATGCTTGGAAGGATGTCATGGAGATAAAAAGTAATTTACAGCAAGACGTTAGTTTATATGTTACATATGCAAAAATGATCAAAATACAAATCTTAGATCAGATGGAATGGTCAATATTTCCTGTATTTTCTTGAGATGAGGCACATAATATTTCTACCGTGGTTGACTTCAAAGATAGAGTGGGTTTTTTACTGCAAAACTGGTTTTATGACAGGTCAAATTTTTCAGTATATTTAATGTTCCTTTTGGGTGGCAGGGGCCTGATTCTCCTCTTACTTACTTATTTTACATCAATATAACTCCACTGCCTACCACAGATTTACTTCAGGTTTAGACTAGTATAAGTGACAGGAGACTTTGACCTTGCACTGTTATATATAGTTTCAGACACAGGTTGTCTAAAGTTTTTGTTTATCAAACTTAAATGTCATTGATAGTATTGTTGTTCCTTTAGTAAAATTGGGAAAGCATAGTAATCTTTCATGACCAAACTGCCCAACAGGGTAAGTGGGTTGTGAAATAGGAGATTTCTGTTCTGTTCTCACCTCATCTACTGTCTCTTGCTGTGTGGCCTAGACAAGGGTTAAACGCAGACCCGCTGTAAACAGTTAGGTTAGTGGAGTGCACCCACTTACACCACTTCTGAATTTAGTTCTCTATGCCTCAATTCTTCCTCTACAAAATAAGACTAATACTTCTCTGGAGCACAAGAATGTTGTGAATATTAACTAATACTTGTAAAGCGCTTTTCAATTCTATAATTATAGGTGCTGTAGATATGCAAAGTATTATTATTTTAAGAGGGGCATAAAGATGAAAACAGGGGAGGCAAAAACTTGTGCCTCTGAGGAAAACAAGTGAGGGGCAGATTGCTCCTCCCACAAGGAACTCCAGGGAAGGAAAATTCTATAAGGGGAATCCTGTGCAGTTACCTCCATGTTTCTTTGGAGGAGGGAAGGCAGATTTCCATAGGAAGCAAAGGCCTTCTGCACAAAGTTTTTGTGCCTCTGCTTTGATTCTGGGGGACCAATGGTCTCTCTCCATTATCTGGCACCGGGTTCCAGCGGAGCTGTGCTTCAAGGAAAAGAAAAGCAATTTAGCAATGAGTTAGAGCTTTTTAAAATCACACAGGATGGAAGAGAGAGGACATGATGTATGTTTCCCTGGACTGCCCACCCATTCCACACTCATCCGTGGGCCTACAGAGAGCTATCTGCAGGGTCATGGGTTGATGAAGGGTGGACACTGCTGACGAAGTTCATGCACTAGCACTGGGAAATTTCATGAAGTGTCATTTTGGTTAGGAATGAAAGTAACAAATTCTGGGTTATGTTTACAGTTGTATGAAGCTCAGCAGTTTTGATTCACCTGGGTTCATACAAACCTTTTATCCATATTTTGCTTCTCATGGCTTTGCACCCTGCAAGTTTACAGTTTTGAGTTTCAGATTTATATAATAAAATAATTTAGCAGATGACATTGTGAGTCGACCATCTTAGATGGCCTTGCTTATTTGTATGGGACATGAAAGTATAGGATCATGATAAGGTAAATGGAGTCTACTTTACCCCTGGTTGCCAACCTTTAACAAGAGATAGTGTTTATTAATTTCTTCTTATATAATTTGTTTCAGGATAAAACAAAGCAAAAAGGCAAAACAAAAAAACTGCAACAACCCCCCCCCCCACAAACTCCTGCCACTGAAACATCACAACCTGATTGCTGCAAATATGCCTCAACTCGATGCAGCTCCCCTACACTCTAGTAACTTCTAACCTGCAAAGCAAAGTCAACAAAAATGAGCATCACATTGAAAAAAGGCAATCTCAAGTAAAGTAGAGAGAACATTCCTGGAACATTGTATTCTTCATGGAAACAACTGTAAAGAAAAAGAGTTTGAGCAAGCATAATAAAACTCTGCCAAGTGCTGGAAAGGCCCCTGCTAATATCTCTACCATTCTGCCTTCAAAACAGATTGCAACATCCAGTGTGTCAGATCTTCCCACAGTTTTGCCAGAAATAGTGAGTTTAGATTCCATAGTAAAAGCAAGCCCTGGGAAAAGGAGACCAGGCACTGTAATAATATCAAAACGGTCAAACACTGCAAGCATGTCTCAGAGTCAGTTGAATCGACCAGTCATTCCATCAAAGAGACCTGGCTTTAGGGTGTGCTATATCTGTGGCAGAGAATTTGGGTCACAATCTCTTGCCATACATGAACCCAAATGCTTGGAGAAGTGGCATATTGAAAATGACAAATTACCAAAGCATCTCAGAAGAGCAGAGCCTGCTAAACCTCAGTCCCTTACTGGTGGCACCTATGATATTAAGGCTGCAAATGAGGCAGCTTATCAGAGTGCTCAAGCTCAGCTCTTACCCTGTGAAAACTGTGGTCGCACTTTTCTTCCTGATCGTCTCCCTGTGCACCAAAGGAGTTGCAGACCAAAGGATGGTGGCCTGGGCCCTTCAAGCTCTAACCCCCCTAAATCTGTTAAAGGCCCTAGCTCTGGCCTTGTATCTGCAGCACGTACTGATCAATCTAGTAAAGTTCAACAAACACGTGGGGCTGCACCAGCCATACCAGAGAAGGTAAATTATTATGCATATGACCTATGAAAGAGATGTGATTGTTTTGCTATAGATACCCCAGAGACTAGAGATGAATGAACTTTCATCAGATCTTAAATTTTAAGGCCTACTTCTTTCAAAGGCGTCTTTTTGCTCCATGCAAATTCTTCCCAGCTAAGCAAGGGTGGAGTAAGGGGGGGAATAATGTGTTCAGAAGGGAAGGCATAAAATATTCTAATCCTATTTATCCCTGTTTCTTTGATCTTTCTTGTTGAAAGGAGATATTTGGGTTCTCATTTTCCATGTTCCTGTGGGAGATGTATCCCCAGAAGAGGCCATTATGCCCTATAGGTCATTAAGAGATTATGTCGAGCTGCTTAAGCAGGCTTTGCATTTTCTAGTATGTTTTAACAGACATCAGATGTTTGTATTTAATTAACACGAGCCCTAATGTTTCCTTGTACTTTAATCATTCCAGAGATTTACATTTTTTAAATGTTAGACTTAACCATGAATAAAATCATTGGGTTTTGCATGTTCAAAGCCAGCAACTCAGAATACAATGAAAAATAAGTAAACAGACTGCAGTTTTTCTACTGAATTTGATGAAGGAGCCAAGATTAATAGGACCAATTTTAGCTCCAATTTATATGCAAGAAGCTACATGAACATTAACCAAATAGAGCCTATATTTTTTTGTTTCTGTACCAACTTTGGAATGGTACTTTATTTTGGCTGAAATTTTAAAAAAATGCCTACAGTTAAGTATCTAGATCCATAAGTAGGGGCCTAAATGAATGGCCTGATTTTCAAACAGGGGCAGCCTGTTTTGCCGCCCCAAGCACGGTAGTGAGGCAGCCTTCGGCTGGTAATGCGGATTCGCCGGTATGCCTGCGGGAGGTCCGCCGGTCCCGCGCCTTCGGCGTACCCGCCGCCGAATTACCGCCGAAGCCACGGGACTGGCGGACCTCCCGCAGGCATGCCGCCGAAGGCAGCTTGACTTCCGCCCTCATGGCGACCGGCACTCAGTCCCCCGCGGCTTGCTGCCCCAGACACACGCTTGGTGCGCTGGTGCCTGGAGCTGCCCCTGTTTTCAAAAGTGCTGAGCATCCAACTTCATTTGCTTTCAGTGGAGTCACACTACTGTAAAAAGAAAATGTGCATGGTCCACTGGTTACCTCATTAGTCTAGCATTCAGGAGACCCATATTCACATCCTTATTCTGTTACAGATTTCCTACAAGACCAAGTAAGTCACTTAGGCTCAGATTTTTAGAAATATTTAGGTGTTGCTCTAATCAGCATTGCAGTGCCTAAGTCCCATTTTAGTCACCTTTGAAAATGGGACTTAGGCCTTGCAGTGCTGAGTGGGGCAATGCCTAAATACCTTCATAAATTTGGGTCTTAGTATCTCTGTGTCCCAGTTTCCTATCTGTTTAAAAAAATGTGTCTGGGGAGGGGGCTATAATAGTACTTCCCTACCTCACAGGGGTGTTGTGAGGACAAATACATTAAAGATTGTAAGTCACTCAGATACTACAGTATTAGGAGCTATATAAGTACATAAGATAGATAGACAATGGTGAATAGATAGTAGGGTTCTTCAGCACATGTTCACATGGCATAGGATATATGAAGTAATGCAAAATGCTATATATATGAGTATCTATGGTTGTAGAAAAAAATACATTAGCCTTGTATTGTTACATTGTATTATCAATCAAAAACTTGTATCATTATGTAATATAGTGTAATTGTACAATGAAATACTATTATAATGCATATGAGTTAGTTACTCTTTGCATATAATTTCATGTTTACTGAAGAAGAAAAATTAATTAAGAAAAAAATATTTTTAAAAAATTAAAAGAAAAGAAGTCCATAATTATAGTGATGTAGAGAAAAGATTCTATGGAAAAAGTCACTTTGTAAAAATGTTACCCTCTTACTCAACAGATGTGTATGCATTCAGTCACATATGTTGACTTGATTGGCAAAAATAAGTTATTACTGCTTTTTACTCCTCTTAATACTGCACAGTCAGTGTAGCCAAGATGATGTGAACTGGATTTTAATCTTTCTTGTGCATCATTACTTTGTTTACTTAGTTCTAGTCAATTACACCTGTTCATTCCACTGACACTGATGGGGGCTGTACAGGTCTGACTGACAGTGTAATAATATTAGTGATGATGCACAAGAAGCAAAGAAACCAGCTTGATTTTCAGGTCTGAGGCTGAGTTTGCAGTGCTGGCCACTAGAAAAGAAATCTCTTCACTGGTAAATTGAATGTATCTAGTATGGGAATTCTTCAGCAGTAATAGACAAGGAACCACACACTGCGTTTTTACATTTACAGAACCTCTCTTCTATGTAGACCTGCACTTTAAAAGCAGAGATGGGAGTGGAGAGAGAGAGAGAATTATAATGGGAACATCATCTCAATCCTCTGAGTAGCATAAAGACCACACAAGAAATAGACCATCTGTTGAGCTTAATTTTTGGTCATCTTGTCCAGTTTTCACTGTATTTTTCCAGCAAATACTTGTAACTATTGTTCACTTTGCCAGCTACACAACGATTTACTAATGTGTTAATATTATGTTAAAAATAAATAATGGCTAATTAAGTAATAGCAAACAGCTTTGCTGCATAGAGGGAAAGTGCTGGGCTGGTGGCAGGAGAAGTTTGGAAAGTACAACATGTAGTCATACCTAGTTAATGCAAAGTAGAAAGAGCTGCATTCCAGCCCTGTTCACCTGAGGAAATGTTGCCTCAGGGCATGTCCGTTGAGGGACAGGAGAAGGATCAGAAGAAATTAATAGAGGGCTTCTTGGTGGGGAAAATAATCCTGGGTAGTCCATGTTATGTTTATCCAAACTTCTTTGGTTCAGAATCAGCAAATCAATTAAGCACATGCGTAAAATCAAGTGTTTTGCTGAATCAGGTCCTTTTATGAATATTTAGTAAAATATATATATTAAGAGAGCCTCTCTGCCAACCCTTACATTAACATTTATAATCTGAGACCATCAATACTCCAAAGTACATAAACTTGCATACCCCAATTCCGGGCTAGCACTAGCCAGAGGAACCTCATGGCTGCTCTAATTTGTCCCTGTTGCCAGTGGTCTAAAGAAGCCATTACAACTGAGTATCACTGAAATGAAGGGATGTCCTGCCACACACCTTCCCCTTGCCAAGTCCCCTGTGCAGGGAGTTGGATCAGAGGGTGAGGTGGGGACAGTTATACAAACTCTGCATCACCTGGGGATTTCGCCACACTGGGAAATCCTGAACCAGTTGGTATCATTAAAGCACCTCTTGGGCTCCTATGTGTGACCAAAGCAGCATAAAGCAACCATGGGGAAGCAAAGGATCTGGCCCACTGTTTTTACGCTAGCTCTGATTTTCTTCTAATCCTCCGCCAAATCTTTTGTCCAGCTGTAGAGAAAGCTAGTTGGTGTATTACTGATTTGTTAGTTCAAAGTTGTTTTTTAATCCAAAGTATGGATTTTAATGGAAACTATGGACTCATTTGCATTAATTGGGTCTGACTGTATATAAACCAAACAATAGCCTATGCCTAATTGACTTTCAGGGATTAAATCAGTTCTGAAATTCCTCTTCTTGGATCCTATTTGGATTATATAGTGATACATTAGATGTTATTAATAAGGCACATAATTATATTCTTTAAATCCAGTCCGGTACAACAGAGAATGCACTACGCTTTCACAGAAAAAAATGGTTGCTACTTATTATGCAGATTGATATTAATTAAGTGCTATAAATGTTCTTTTTCTGCTTTCTTTGGCAACAGATGGTGATAACTTTAATCCTAAAATCCTACCAGCTGTATGTCTAGCATCTGGTGCTGCCATCTGCTGTTTATTCCCTACTGTAATGTTTTACCGACAAAATAAAAATGTTAGCCACCTCTCTCTTCTGCATTACTGTACATCTTAATACAGAATCAGTCTGGTACTCCAGCAAAATTTTTACACCATTCACTTGATCTTGCACAAAACTGTGTAACCAGTTCATAGAATTAGAACTTTTTCAAATAGCATGTATTGCCAAACAACATGGGCCTGCTCCTGCTCTCATTGAAGTAAATGACAAACTCTCCATTAATTTCAGCAGGAGCCGATTTGGACACTTTGTTAAAAGGTAATTCACAAAAATATGAGGAAATAGAAAAGGATAGATAAAAATGGACAATAAAAGATTTGAATGAGTTTCATTAAGAAATATCATGGTGGGTGTGGAGGTTCCCCTCTCTCCTCTCTATATAAGTACCGTGCACTTTACTTCTGAGTTTTAAAAAGGTAGCAGTTTTAGAATAAAATGGAAAACTCAGATAATTCCCATGCAGTTACATATGCATTTATCTACAGTGTCAAAAGAATTACCTTTTTGTTACTACACTTAACTAGATAAATATAGCGGTCAGTTCTGGCTTCTGTACTACACCATTCCAGTCAATATGGCCAATCCCCCACTGAGGTCATTATGACAGCCTGTGACAAAGAGACAATCTTTCTGTTACTAATAAGATTCATACTAGAGACTTCCATCCCTTACGCTAATGTCCTTAACTGTCAGGTTGGGATGGGTGGAAAAAAGTCTACTTTCTAGGCGCCTGATTGTGCTATTAATCTTTTCTACTTCTTTCTGTGCTCCATTGTTCACATGTGAGCAGCGCTAGTCAGAATTCTGGTCCCCTGTCATTCAGTTAGGTAGATAATTTGATGAGTGGGAACTTTTGACTCTTCTAGTACTAGATGAAAAATTATTATGCTCTTAAGGGAAGTTTGCGACCCAGTCAAATTGAACGTACCATAACAAACCAAAAATATACCTCTAAGGTAAGTACCATGTTCTACAAAACAGGCTTGGAAAAAGAAATGACATATTTTGTTCATTGTTGAAACTATATAGCCTTTGAGTTTAATACTTGTATTCATGGTAGTGAAGATAATAAATGGTCATAACCATGTAAAAAAGGACACCTAAAAGAAGAGAGTCTTAATGACTTTGTCAGGTATTTGTAGCTATTTTTATAAGGACATAGTTCCTCATGACACTGGGTATTAATGTGATCACTCTTTTTACAAGTGAAAAACAAAACCGTGAACAGTAAGTAGCAGACTATTTAGTCACTGTCCTATGAATAGTCTGGGTTGGAAAATTCCTTGAACTGGGATCTGATGATTTCCAAAAATAATTTACTTCCAAACAACGATCATTCCAGATGTGACATTTGGGCAGGACAGTTTAAGGAGGAATAGAAATGAATGTTAAATACCAGTGGTTTTAAAAATCCCAAAGAAACTCACCATCCCGAAGATTCCATAGTTTAACAATCATCTCTTATTACAAATAGCAAGGAGAATTCTCTTTCACATTTTGTATTTTAGTTAGCTCTGGTACGTGTATCTGTGGAGGTGGGAGAGAATTTAACATGTAGCATGGGTTCAGGACGGGTATCGTTCCAACCTGAAGGTGATCTAATTCAGTTCTGACGTTTCTCTCTGATCTTCAGTTTTCTTTAGAAAAATATTTGCATGCTATTGAAAATTACAATAAGGAGCCATTTTTTTCTGACCTTTTTTTTAAAGTGAGTTTTTAGCATCTGAACAAAGTCCAAGTGCTAGACTTCTGGCTACAGAACAAATACAGCTTTTATCAGACTTCCCTACACTCCTCCAGCTATGATCTGGAGGGACAATTTCCAGGGCTTGGTTAGATATGCTTATTCAGTCTCTAGCCTTTCTGCTGAGAGTGCCAGAAAGAGTGCCAATTGCAACAGTGAGTTTTGTGATGTGGATGTCTTTTTGTGATGTGGCTGGCACAGGACTGAGACTACTAACTCGTTCCCATGTAAGCCACTAAGCAGCCATTCGATGGCAACTTTTTGCAGTGTTGTAGCTCTGTGTAGTATGAAAGCTTGTGCCTTCCACCATCAAAAGTTGGTCAAATAAGAGATATTATCTCGCCCCCCTTGTGTCTATCCAACGGTAATGACAGTCAGTCACTTCAGAATGAAAGTGTGGTAGATCTGACATAAAAGGTTACCCCTCTTCCCTAGGGAAACATTTTTACAGAGAAAGCTATTTGCTTTGATGATGACACTTTTGTGTTCCCCCCCCCCCCCAATATCATTGGAGGTATCTTATTTTAAATAATTATTTTCTCCTGAGTCAAACTACTCTTTTTCTGCTTGATCCTATACTTAAACTATAATTTTTTATTTAGTATGCCGATCCACTGCCATGGACATGACTGTGATGATAGGAGTAGAAGGCTTTAAATCTAACTAATTGAAGAGTAATGAAGTGACCTCCATGAATTTTCAGCCCAGAGTCTGGAGCACTGGTTCAAGTGGCCATTTAATAAAGGAGGGACCTTTATGGGTTTAGGGCCTGAACCAAAGCCCACTGAAGTCAAGAAAAAGACTCCCATTGATTTTCGTGAGCTTTGGATCAGTTCCTTAAAATGATCATTTTCCATTAACATCACTACTGTCTAAAATGAATTCTGAAAACAATAATGCTTCTTTACTGCAATTGTTGTTTGCAGCCACCCGTGATCAGACGGCCACCCACTGTTGTTTGTTACATATGTGGCCGTGAGTTTGGAACTAAATCTATTGGCATCCATGAACCACAATGTCTGAAAAAATGGCATAACGAGAATGACATGCTACCCAAACATTTACGAAGACCTGAACCTAAAAAGCCAGAAGTCAGATCCTTAGGAGGTAAGCTACCGACCAAACAAGAGGAACTGGGAGGATGTAAGTTGGGAAAAAATAGGTTTAAAGAGAGCTAAATGTTTTACATGTAATTTTGTCTTCATTCATATGAAACTATCTACTCATGATAGAGTTTAGCTTGTTTAAAGGATCCTATTTTTTCTTTTCCCAAATCAGTGTCAGTTAAAGGTGCTCTGTGCCTCTCAAGTAATGACCCCTTATATGTCAATCACTTTTGAGTCTAAAACCAGTCATTTGCAATCTTCATAACTAAGCCCTTCACTGGGATACTTTTGGCTACTTTCTGCACCATAGGAAGGCACATTTTCAAGCAGGACAGCTCATCCAAGAACAATATGCAAGTACAACTGTTACAGGGTTCAGAGTGCAATCCAGACCAGTGAGGGTGTGACTGTGGTCACTGGAGAGGCCACACTGAGAATGCTCAATCCAAGTGAACTGCAAAGAATGGGGCAAATCCCCCAAACTGGTGGTTTATTCTTATAATTAGATTCACCAAGCCAGTCACAAAACAGTTTCTGTAATACCTTACTGGTTACCAAGAAACTAAAATCCAGTTCCCATTAAGCAATCCAGCCTTTGGCTCCCACCCAGACAGCCAGGTCAAGTATGGTGTGGATTACTTAAAATCTTATTAACCATATATAAAGTTCTACCAATCCCAAGAGATCAGACACATTACCCACCAGGTCAATGAATATTTCAGATTTTACCCAAATACACTCTTACGGCCAATTTTTATTAACTAATCTAAGATTTATTTAAAAAGAAAAGAAAGCATTACTGTGGTTAAAAGATCATTATACATACAGATATCAATAAAGTTCTTAGGTCATAGCAAAGGTGGTGAGCTGCTGATTTGCAAAAACTTCTTCCAGAATCAGTTTAATAATAGGCAGTCCATGTATAGATGTTGTTCAAATTCGTCCATAAGAATTTGCAGGGACAGTTCAGAGTACCAGGAGACCTCAGTCTTGTGGCTTGAACTTCCCCTGCCAAAGTTTAAGCAGATCTGAGATGGCAAGGATCAGGCCCTAGAGTTCTTTTATAGTCCTCTAGCAGGCTATGATAGCCTTTTGACAGCAGATAACACAGTGGGCATTCCTTGAATGAAGAATAGGTAATGCACATCGTTGCTTTGAAGTAAATCTCTATTTACTACACACAGACCAGTAAATAGATGCATTTATTAGCATAAGGTTATTAACCATTTAAGCAGTTCATAGGTAGTTTTACTACAAATTTCAAAGAGACATAAAGACAATGATATTATTACACCACAAGTTTCATCTAAATATTAATATTCCCATTTGATCTCTGAATCCATAGAATATAGTAACAGGAACAGATGTTTATCATCCACAAGCTAATATGGTTACATTGTTAACATCTAACAAGATAAAAGTAAACACAGACAAATACAATTAGCATCTTCTTCTAATTCTCTAACAATACAGGTTTACATTTCAAATAATTTAGTCTACTTTAACATGGCTTTGACAACTACCTACAAGAATGGCCCTGTTTATCATTTCAATACTTCTCTAATATGTCCTTAAGGTTGATTTTGGGTCTCTACAGCTCTCCTCCCTGCAGCCTCCTTTCTGCTACCAGCTCCCTGATCTTTATAGAAGCCCCACCTGTCCTGAACAGATGAATTTCCCTTTAGGGCTTTCCTCTCAGCCTAAAAGTCCCCCAGTTTGCAGCCGAATTGGCCCATCTGACCTATGTTACTCCCTTCAGTTACATGAGGAGCACACTGCATCACAGTCTTCTGTTGTTTTGATTCCAACATGCTTAATTTACATAGGAGACAGGTAAATAGCTGCCTTCTCTCCTGTCTGGGAGGGAATCTGTTTCTCCCTGTTTGGCCACAGACTTTAAAACATAGTATCAATGAATCTTAATAATTCCTTATATAGTGTTAATACAGGCATTTCACAATGATATTAATCACCAGGGTGTCATTAGCTTTGAGAAAAGACCTCGCTCTATACACTTTTTTAATACAATAATTTTGTATAAAATCAGTTGATGCAATTGCTTATCACTTGAGGTTCAGCCCCTGTCTTTATAGACACGTAAACCTTTTAAATGAATTCTTCTGAGGGTTACCCCGCAAAGTAAAATTTATTCAAGCTGTAAGGAAGGCAACAAATAGTCTGGTGCTGAAGGAGCTTCGTGCTCTTTCTTCCCTGGCTTGTGTTTGCTGAAATGCAAATTGTTCTGTTTCCTGACATCTTTTCCCCCTGCTGTCTTGATGTTTACTGTTTACTGCTTGTATGTAAATTGAGGTAAACACACCTTCCTTTGTTTAAGTTAGACCTATTTAACAACTCTTCCTGACAGACCTAGTTTAAACACTCTTTGGTCATAATTCTAGCATATATCCATATCTTTTAATACCCACTGGGTACATACATCACACAGGAATATTAAAGATCAGTCAGATATAAGTTTTCAAATGATACCTCACAAGGTATATTTTGTACAAAGAATATTACAACAGTATGTAGGGTGTGAATACATGAGGTGCTTAGTGTCACACTGACATATGCATTCATTAGAACAAAATATCTTCAGGCAAGAGCAACTTGGGGACTGATACCTGAGCCAGCTTTTACACCTATAATGTTGGCCATTTAAAAACAAACTAAGGGTATGTCTACACTACAAGAGTAGTTCGATTTTACTTAAATCGAATATGTGGAATCGATATTGCAAAGTCGAACATGTGTGTCCACACTAAGGACGGTAATTCGACTTTGTGAGTCCACACTAACGGGGAAAGCGTCGACATTGGAAGCGGTGCACTGTGGGCAGCTATCCCACAGTTCCCGCAGTCCCCGCTGCCCATTGGAATTCTGGGTCGAGCCGCCAATGCCTTCTGGGTAAAAAATGTGTCGAGGGCGCTTTTGGGTAACTGTCATCATCCAACCGTCACTACCGCCCTCCCTCCCTGAAAGCGCCGGCGGGAAATCAGTTCGCGCACTTTTCTGGTCAGTGACAGCGCGGACGCCACAGCACTGCGAGCATGGAGCCCGCTGTGACCATCGCTGCAGTTGTGGCCGTTGTCAACACCTCGCAGCTTATCATCCACCTTTCCCAGAGGCAGATGCTGAGAAATCGGGCGAGGAGGCTACGGCAGCGCGGTGAGGACCTGAAGTCTGAGAGTGGCACAGACCTGTCAGAAAGCACGGCACCCAGCGCCGAGGACATCACGGTGGCAATGGGTCATATGGATGTTGTGGAACGGCGATTCTGGGCCCGGGAAACAAGCACGGACTGGTGGGACCGCATAGTGCTGCAGGTCTGAGATGAATCACAGTGGCTGCGAAACTTTCGCATGCGGAAGGGGACTTTCATGGAACTTTGTGAGTTGCTGTCCCCTGCCCTGAAGCGCAATGACACCCGGATGCGAGCAGCCCTGAGTGTCCAGAAGCGAGTAGCCATAGCCCTCTGGAAGCTTGCAATGCCAGACAGCTACCGGTCAGTCGTGAACCACTTTGGCGTGGGCAGATCTACCGTGGGGGTTGTTGTGATGCAAGTAGCCAACGCAAAAGTAGCCAAAGCAGACCTGGGAAACGCGCAGGTCATCATAGATGGCTTCACCGCAATGGGATTCCCAAACTGCGGTGGGGCTATAGATGGAACTCACATCCCTATCCTGGGACCGGACCAGGCCAGCCAGTACATTAACCGAAAGGGCTACTTTTCAATGGTGCTGCAAGCACTGGTGGACCATAGGGGACGTTTTACAAACATCAACGTCGGATGGCCGGGCAAGGTTCATGACGCTCGTGTTTTCAGGAACTCAGGTCTGTTTAGACGGCTGCAGGAAGGTATTTACTTCCCGGACCACAAAATAAGTCTTGGGGATGTGGAGATGCCTACAGTCATCCTCGGGGACCCAGCCTACCCGCTAATGCCCTGGCTCATGAAGCCCTATACTGGCGCCCTGGACACTGAAAAAGAACTCTTCAACTACCGGCTGAGCAAGTGCAGAATGGTGGTGGAGTGTGCTTTTGGCCGTCTCAAGGGGAGATGGAGAAGCTTACTGACTCGCTGTGATCTCAGCGAAACCAATATCCCCATTGTTATTGCAGCTTGCTGTGTGCTCCACAATCTCTGTGAGAGCAAGGGGGAGACCTTTATGGCGGGGTGGCAGGTTGAGGCAAATAGCCTGGCTGCTGATTACGCCCAGCCAGACAGCCGGGTGATTAGAAGAGCCCAGCGGGACGCGCTGTGCATCCGGGAGGCTTTGAAAGCTAGGTTCCTGAGTGAGCAGGATAACCTGTGACTTTTAAGTTTGTGTACAGAGAAGCTGAACCTGCCACCGTTTCTTTACCCACTAAATGTTCAGTATCCTCTCCAGTTACATACCCCGTTCCCCCCCTTCCAAAACATGCTTAAAAATAAAATGACTTTAATTTTGTTAATGAACACCGTTTTCTTTATTACTGTTTTCGCGGGAAAGTTTTGAACCTGGGACGCAGACTGTGGTGGGGAGCGTGTGTAGTGTAGTGATGCAAATGACGCTTCTAAACTCCAGGAATGACAGGCTCCGCAGGGGTGGACTGGTGGTTTCAACGGAGCCTGCTACCCCTCCTGTTCGGGAATGTGTGTGTGGGGGGGCTATGTGACTTTGTGGCAGGGGGAGGACGGTTACAGATCCCCTGCTGTGTGGCTCTGTGATCCAGGATAAGGACCGCTGCATAAGATCTCTAACTGCCCTCCCCCGCCACAAAGTCACAGAGCACCCCCCACAGAACACTAAAACCACCTCCCGGACTGACCAGGGTAACTAGTGACTGCAATGTGTGTGTGCCCTGCTGCTGTCCTGTCCAATTACCAACCCCTTTCCCCCCCTTCAGACAGACTCTCCTCTAAAGAACATGATGGAAACAGTAATGAACAGAAACATATTTTTTATTAACAACTACACATGAAACTGGGGGGTGAAACTTGGATGGGGGCTTGGGTGA